AGTGTCCCTTCAGTCTGCACTTGAAGCACTTGCCTTTCGGCTTCTTCATAGCAACTGATTTGAGAACTGATAATCAAGTCATTTTGTTCTTGTTACCACCTTTGGGTTTTCCCTTGGATTTAACAAGACTTTTAGCAAAACTTGCACTAACTGCATTCTGTCTAGCAGAGCTGCTAGAGACAGCAAATATGTCATTAAGAGTCCGAAACATCTCTACTTCACTCTTAACCAAGTACACTTGCTTATACAAGTGCTTGAAAAGACCGATATGAATATAACAACGAACTACCATATCTTCCCTTTCCCAATCTGAGTATTGTGTCTTAGTTTCCTTAGACGCGCCCTCTACAGGTGGCCATGGATTTGATATTGTTAGGACAAATTTTTGTTTTTCATGTTTTAGAACAATATCAAGGTTTGCTTTCAACTTATTATAGTTGGTACTACCTAGAGGTTTTTTGATTCAAAAATCACTTCTAAAGGATTGCAAGAAGACATTTCTGAAAAAATACAAGGCACATAACTACTAACAAATAATGCAATAAACAAACGAAGTGCAAGTAGATTCTCATAACTACTTTTGTTTTTTGTTAACAATCCTTCAGTTTTCTTTACAAGGCTTTTGATGAGCAAGTTAATTGTAAAAACTAAAATTATTATTTGGGCCTTCGGTGCCATTGCCAGAGCCTCGATGGGAGGGTTAACAATTTTACCAAAGTTAAATGTAATTAACCATTGTTTAATTTTAAAATTATCCTTAATATCCAAGCATTGTCGACGACGGGTCGTACAATACTTCACTAAAATTTTGAAATTATTAAGGTTTAATCTAGTGAAATTCGATTATCCTTATCCGATGGGGCTTCAACGATAATCATTTCACTAATAAACCCACAAATGGAGCCCGTAGATTTTAAAATTAATTAATTAATTTTAAAATCTTCACATATTCAATATTTTATTTAAGAATTTTCATAAGCTTTGCCGAATATAAAATTCATTTTTTAATTTCGAAATTATCTTTAATAACTTTGTATTGTTGAGCAATGGGTTGTATAATATTTTATTAAAATTTTGAAATTATTAAGGCTCTAATAAAATCCAATCATACTTATCCGATGGGGCTTCACATGATTATTTTATTAATACACCCACAATGCGTCTAGAGGTTAAATTAATTTCTTAATTTAAATCTCCTACCTTGACTATTTAGGCCCAATCTAATAAAATCCAATCATGCTTATATGATGGGGCTTCACATGATTCTTTTATTAATGATCCTACAGTATGCTTGGAGGTTAAATTAATTTCTTAATCTAAATCTCCTCCCATTTGACATAAGCAATTTTTCCAATTTTCAAGAATTGTGTAATTGAGAGTAACCTTTGTTTGATTTCAGAAACCATGTAACCATGCACGCTGATGAACATGAATTGCTTAGCTTATCGAAAATTTGAAATTATTAAGGTCTTAAAATTCGGTCATGACAGGAAACGTGTGCTCCACACAATTATGATACATGATCGTGGTATGTAACATCTGTTTAACATATATCCATTTTAGAAGACCCACAAAATTACTCGCAAAATAAACAATTATCTTCAAAAAAAATTTGGATTATTTGTCTCGATTTTAATTATCCAAAATTAATTAACTCAATTATTAATCTAATTTTTTTAAGAAAATATAATAATTATTAATTAATTTTTTTAGGATAATACAAAAAATCTAAATAATCTCATAATAACTATCATACTAGTCGATTGAAAACATAATAGCTACTATGCTTATGTAATTGACAAGTTATACAACAATATGGCACCACCTATTATGTATGGCATGTTATCACATCGAGCATGTTATCAAAAAAATAATTCATCCATTCATAAAAAATTAAGCAATTATAATTAGACTTTAATCCATGGCTTCCGAGAGAAAAATAAAAAATAAAATTACAAGCCAATATTTGATGGCCAAAATATTATCTGAATTGCACTATTATTTTCATCCTTCATTCTGGGTCCATAAGGTTCTAATTCAAGCCTTTTTGGCAACCATAAGCTTAAAGGCCCAAAACATCAAAAACCTAACAAGAAACCCTAACTCTTTGTTGGAAACCCTAGCCTTCACATCTACTGCACCTCACACGAACTCATCTCAGCACGAAACTCTAAGGTTAGGTGCGTGAGGGCGCATGGAGGCTCCTCCCGGCTGGATCTGATCGTCTTCTTATTTGGTTTTCTAACCTCTTTCATCCCATGTGGTTGGTTTCTTAGATCGGCCACTAGAAAGTCACGAACATGTTGAAACAAGTCTGGATCTCCTTGTTTTCGGCTTATCTTGGATCTTCTTTTCATTACAATTTTGTAATACAACAAAAAATGTACAAAAATCGAAATAAAAATCAAGGAGAAAACTTAATCATAAGGGATTAGCTTCCTTGTTACAATCCAAGAAAATACAACCAAATCTCTACCATGGATTAAAGCCAAAAGCCAAATAAAACATTTATTTTTAATGAAAAGAATTATAAAGGTACAGATGCAAAATACACACCAATAAACATAAAACCCTAGGTTCCATATTTCATGAACCAAAACTAATTACATGAATAACCATCATCAAAAACTAGAACCACATCCAAACATACAATTCGGCTCTGATACCAATTGTAGGTGTAATTGGATCTGTGGAAGCGTTTAGATCGTTGCGGCTTGGGATGCAACAGATCATCATCATTTTTCAGATTTACCTCTTAACGCGCAAATCTATGATTCCTCTTCACGAATCGATTTCACAAACTGATCTTCTCCGCGTCACAACATGATCAAACCTCATGTGTTTTTGGTAAATCTTCCAGATTATTCTCAAAGGGGAAGGAGAAGTGTGTGAGCACTTTTTTATATAAGAGCTTACATTTTCTGTTCAATAACTTGAAAGCTAATGACTTAAGTGGTAGTATTTATATGGGTACCAAAAAATCTTAGTGCTAAGCTCTTTGAGCTTTAGACTTCTTGGACTCTTCTTATATTCTTAACCCAATTGAGCTTAAGTAAAAGAGTACAAACTCAACATCCTCGACACTCCAAAAAAAAAAGACTCACAATTTGTCTCTTTCTCTATGATGTCAATAGCCCTTAACAATAACAATACATAGATCGATGAGTTATGGGTATGGGCAAGTAAACACTATGTAAGAGCCAGAGGAACCACCCTAATAAGATGGAAAGAGATTACTCATCCATCAAGTGAGCGCTACATCACAAAGTCCTATGGTCCACATTTAGGATTAGGCACTTGCTGAGTAACACTAAAATATATCTCAATGGGCTCTTCCCCTCACAATGGAACTGGCCCAATTGGTCTTGTCAGGATGTGCCTCGGTCCTGTCTCTATTGCATCCATATTCCATCATAGTACACCTACCAAATCAAAGCAGCTCACTTTATTTTTTATTTTTTTGTTACCAACCATACATCATTTAAATTTCATGCACCTATCAAGGCACAAATCACAAGTTTAATTATCTTTGTTAAGTCATAACCATCATTAATTATTCAAATAAAAACAAAAGTCTCTTGCATACCCCCCTTTCCCCAAAAAATAAAAATAAAAAATAAAAAAATGTATTACTTCAAGCTATGAAGCACTGACACTTCAAAAACTCTGACGTGTCGTGTCCGACACTTCCTGACACTCTCCGACACTCCGACACTCTAACACGCGTTATAGAAATTCAAAAAAAGGTTCAAAGGTTACGTTTCCAAGATATGGATTGATGCTAGTCAAATCCTACTAATCTTAGTGTGTCAGCACAGCTATCCACTTGATGAGTCAGCATAGCTATCCAAACCATCTACAGGTAACCTCTATAAATACCAAGACAAACCCTAAAGGTACACACATTCTCTCTCTCATTGTTATGCTGTCCCTGTGCACACACACACCCCATTGGCTAACACCACTATAGTATTCTGTGCACAGTGATCTCCTTGACTCAAGGGTATCTCCCCCATAGATACCTTGGAGAGGGTACCAGATCCAATATCAACATACTAGCCTGACTAGGCTAGACATCTCTGCCTTAAGGACAGAACAATGGCGCCGTCTGTGGGGATTCTTTTCTCTGAATTTGAATCCGAAGTTCCCACCAAATCTGACAAGGAATGGCAATCCAGACAAGGAGCAGTAGCCAGCAGCCACCCCCAAACCAAAATCAGCCGTTGGATCCAGTCATTGAGGAGATAAATCAACCTCATAATCAGATCAGAAACAACGTGGATTACGATCATGTCCAGGTCGAAGACGATGTTTCGGACACCGCTTCAACGCTGGCACCCCGAAATGGGGGAGCTGCAGCAAATGTAGCTCCAGTAAGGAGCAACCCTGCCCAGCATCCTGGCAATCTGGCTGCGCGCATCGCTCAATCGGCCGATCCAGATACTCGGTTGGCCAACAACGCGTTAAACGCAATTATGGAACGAATAGCAGCGCTGGAAACCCATACAAACTTGCAACGACAACAAGATTTCAGGGCTATTCGAGAGGAAAATAACAGAGGGATGCAAGACCTGGAGCGACGATTAACACGGCGGACTGCGCCAGGAATGACGAATTTCGAAGGCCAGCCTGCCCATGGCCGAGAAGGACCTAGAAACCAGGCTCAATCATACCAAGTTCCTCATACGGAAAACCCTGGTAACCTGCTAAACCAGGGGCACCAGGTCATTGATGGCCAGGATGCACAAAATCATCAAGCACATGCTGACGGTCAGGAGGACCGGGTTAGAGCTCAGTATCAACAGGATATTCAAAACATCCGAGGACGAGTAGAACCTGGCGGATATAGGAGGAAGTACAGCAGGGGGTAGTATAATAATAGCCCATTCACTACTGAAATACTAAATGCTGTCTTCCCAGAGGACTTTGACTCGGCACGTTTACCAAAATATGATGGGAGCCAAGATCCGCAGGTGCACATAGATGCTTTTGACACGGATATGTATATTCGGGGAATTGATGAACCTCTCATATCCCGAATATTCACGGTAACATTGACAGGGGCAGCACAGGCATGGTTTTCAACCTTGCCTGCTAATTCCATCGGATCCTTCGAGGAGTTCGGACAGAAGTTCCTGTTGAACTTTGCAACCAGCAAGAAGCATCCAAAGTCCGAGTTCGCTCTTGGAAAGATACGACAGCAACCTGGAGAAACCCTCCAAAAATACCTTAACCGGTTCAAGGACGCTGCGCTGCAGGTCCCAGGGTTGCAAGAGAATGTCCACGTCCATCACATTGTCGCAGGTCTGGATGGCGGATCCAGACTCGCCAAGTCGGTCTATAAGGACCCAATAAAGACATTGGAGGAGTTTAGAACTCGCTCGAAGAAATACCTTGAACTAGAGCAAATGGAGATTGCAAATGCGCAATATGATGAAGTCAACAGAACAAGCCCGAGAAGGAGGAGTCCACCCCCGAAGGGAAAAGAACGAGTTGACAGTAAGAAGAAAGATCAGCACCAACGGATCCCAGACATGAGAGAACGCATTGGAAGGTACGATAAGTATACACCTTTGAATGCGTCGCGTTCTCAAATTTGGAGAGAAGTAGCCACGACGGAGATGAAAAAGGTGGAGAGACCTCGTCCCATATTCGACAGAGGAGGATTAGATAAATCCAAGTACTGTGCCTTTCATGATGGGCCAGGCCACACCACTGATCAGTGCTGGGATCTCCGAGACGCGGTGGAGAAGTTTGTGAGAGACGGTAGATTACGTCAATATGTGATAAAAACTCAAGGTTCCAAGAAGAACAAAAGGAAGCTGGGGAACAGGAACCGAAGCAAAAGCCCTGCTACTGAAAAGAAGAACAGAGAGGATAAGAATCAGAAAAATGATTCCAACTATCACGACTTCCCTGAAGCGGAATTTGATTGTAATGTAATTAGTGGAGCTTTGGGAGGTGGAGGAGATACTGTAAGTGCTAGAAGAAAGTACTTGAAAGAGGTACTCTCCATTCGTGATCGCCCCAAGTTCAAAGAAGACTCAACCAAGCCAGATCCACCTCTGTTATACTTTACCAAGGAAGACATGCGCGGGATGCTGCCCGATCATGTTGACGGACTGGTAATCGCAGGGACCCTAGTAAACTGCCGGGTCAGGAAGAATTTTGTGGATGCAGGAAGTTGTGCCGACATCATACTCTGAGATGCTTTTAAGAAGATGAACCTGGATGAAGAGGACCTCAAACCCTGCAGAACGACGTTGGTAGCCTTTAACGGAGAACATACGCCTCCTAAAGGTTACATTGATCTCAGGTGAACCCTGGGAACAAAAGAAGCGTTCAGATCAGAACGGATTAGGTTCATAGTGGCTGACTTCCCATCAGAATACAACATCATCACTGGAAGGCCAACCATACATCAGTGGGACATGCTGGTTTCTACAAAACACCAGAAGTTAAAAATGGTGAGCAATAAGAATGAAGTAATCACTGTTTGTGGAGATTAGAAGGAATCCAGAGGTTGTTACTTTGATACTATTAAAGATAATGAAGGAAGACGTTCAAGCCCACCCCGAATTCACCCGGGGGATAAAACCAGTAGGAATCTAATTCCTCAACAATCTAAGAAACCGGTCCACATGGTTGAACTCGACATGAGAGAAGAAGTAATGCTGAGACCTGAACCTGATGGAGAGCTTGAGGATCTAACGCTGGGGGTAGAGCTTGGTCAGTTTACTCGCATTGGTAAGGCCATAGACCCCCAGATCAAGCAAATTTTGGTCGACTTTCTTAAAAGCAACACAGATGTATTTGCGTGGAAGTCGTCAGAGATCCCTGGCATCGACCCCGCATTCTGTTGTCACAAATTGGCAGCTTATCCGGGGTCCAAGCCAGTTTCGCAGAAGAAACAGAAACTGGGACCTGAAAGGCAACAAATTCTACAGGAACACGTTAAAGAACTCTTGGATGCCGGTTTCATTCGAGAGGTACAGTACACGACGTGGCTAGCTAATGTGGTCATGGTGGAAAAACCGAATGGGAAATGGAGAATCTGTACTGATTACACAGATTTAAACAAAGTTTGCCCAAAGGATGCTTATCTTATGCCCAACATAGATCAGCTGGTGGATAATTCGGCTGGATTTCGTCTGTTGTCTTTCATGGATGCCTATTCAGGATACAACCAGATCCCGATGTACCCAACTGATCAGGAAAAAACGGCCTTCATTGCTGAAAATGCCAACTATTGCTACAATGTGATGCCATTTGGGCTTAAAAACTCAAGGGCAACTTTCCAGAGAATGATGAATAAGGTCTTTATAGATCAGCTGGGGAAAAATGTAGAAGTATATATAGATGATATGATCGTGAAGTCATTCGATATGATGAATCATGTCCGGGATCTTGAGCAAACGTTTCAAAAGCTCAGAAAGTATCGCATCCATCTCAACCCAGTCAAGTGCGCATTCGGGGTGGCAGCTGGAAAATTTCTCGATTTCATGCTAACCCATAGAGGAATTGAGGCAAACCCAGATAAATGCAAGGCAGTTCTTGACATGATTGTGCCTCAAAGTAAAAAGGAGGTTCAACAGCTAACCGGACGCTTAGCGGCGCTAACACGGTTCCTTCCGAAATCGCAGAACATGCCCTCCCATTCTTTAAACTTTTAAAGAAAGAAACAACTGACGGATGGAACCCGGCGTGCGAAGCCGCGTTTGAAAAAATAAAAAAGTGTTTATCAACTCCACCGATCCTCTCAGCCAAACACAGGAGATGTTTTAATTCTGTATTTGGCAGTAGGGGAGGAAGCAATAAGTGCTGTACTGATCAAGGAAACAAACGAAGGCCAGGAGCCAATTTACTTTGTCAATAGAGCATTGCAAGGTGCAGAGGTCAGGTATCAAAAGCTAGAAAAAGTGGCTTTTGCCCTACTAATCACGGCTAGAAGGTTGCGGCCGTATTTTCAGGGCCATCAAATCATTGTGAGGACTAACCAGCCTATTCGGCAGGTGTTGCACAAACCAGACCTGACAGGAAGAATGGCTAACTGGGCAATAGAGCTCAGTGAATACGACATTATTTATGAAAGTCGGAAAGCAATCAAGGCACAAGCCTTAGCCAACTTCATAATGGAATTAACACCACAGAACTCGGAGCATGAGGAACACGGGGATCAATGAAAGGTCTACGTTGATGGATCTTCCAACATTAGAGGAAGTGGGGCCGGAATCATATTAGAAAGCCCAGAAAGAGTGACCATAGAGCATTCTCTGAACCTGGGATTCCCAACTTCCAATAATCAAGCTGAATATGAAGCCCTAATAGCTGGTTTGATTCAGGCCAAAGAACACGACGTTAGGAAAATGCACATGTTCAGCGACTCACAGCTGGTAACCTTGCAGATAGAAGGAAAGTACCAAGCCAAAGGTCCTCTACTGATGAAATACCTGACCCGGGTTCAGGAAATTATGGCCGACTTTGATGAGGTCCGGGTTTCTCACATCCCGCTAGGGGAGAATAGCCGAGCTGACATCTTGTCGAAGTTAGCCAGCACCAAAAATCCGGGGAATCACAGAACTGTGGTGCAGCAAAGCATAACGACGCCGAGTTGTGTGATGGTGGTAACCTCTGTAAATGACTGGAGAAAACCTCTGGTTGATTATTTGGAGAAAGGCATACTGCCAGAGGATCGCCTGGAAGCCAGGAAGCTGGTCCGAGATGCGACCCAATATGCGATCGTGAATGACCAGCTATTCAGAAAGGGCCTACATAATCCCATGCTAAAATGCTTGGACTCGGAAGGAGCCGAGTATGTTCTTGCCGAGATCCATGAAGGGATAAATGGGCACCATATGGGTGGTATAGCCTTGGCCAGAAAAGCCCTCAGAGCTGATTATTACTGGCCAACCATGGGGGCAGATTCTAAAGAGCATGTCAAGAAATGTGACAGCTGTCAGAAGCACGGCAAGTTGATCCTTTCACCACCGGAAGAACTGAAATCCATCTCGGCCCCGTGGCCCTTCTTCAAACGGGGAATGGATCTACTAGGACCTTTTAAAGCTGCTGAAGGACAACTCAAGTGGTTGATCGTGGCTGTGGATTACTTCACAAAGTGGATAGAAGCAGAACCAGTCACCACGATCACCTCGGCTCGAGTGCAAAGATTCTTTGAACGAAATATTGTCTCAAGATTCGAAATTCCAGCCGAGGTGGTTACTGATAATGGAACGCAGTTTGCTGATAAGAAATTCCAGCAGCTAATGAAAGACCTACACATCACCCATCGTTTCGCGTCCGTGGAGCACCCACAGTCAAATGGGCGGGCCGAAGCGGCCAACAAAGTGATTGTGGAGGGTCTCAGAAAACGAATGTTTGCCGCCAAAGAAAGCTGGGTTCACCAGTTATACTTTGTCCTGTGGGGTTACAGAACTAGTACCCAAACTGCAACTGGAGAAACCCCTTATAGGCTAACGTATGAATGTGAAGCCTTGATCCCAGTGGAGATCGGAGAACCCTCCTGGATAAGGCTGAATAGTCTTGAACAAGGCGTACAACAGAACAGCAGAATGCTTATTGAAGAATTAGACCTTGTAGATGAAGCTAGGGTCACTGCTCACTGCCGGAATATGATGGCAAGACAACTGACTGCAGCAAAGTATAATAAGAAAGTGAGACCAAGAAATTTTGAAAAGAATAACTTGGTGCTCAAGAGAGCTGATATTGGCAACAAGAATGCCAGAGATGGAAAGCTAGCTACAAATTGGGAAGGACCTTACCGGGTTAAAGAAAAGCTCAGAAAATGAGCTTACATGTTGGAGACAGTTGAAGGCAAAGAAGTTAAGCGGACCTGGAATGTAGATAAGCTGAAGACATACTACAGCTAAATCTGCATTCCTCCGCTTAAATATATCAAAATGCAACTTTTCTTTCCTCTGCTAGGGGTTAGATAAAAGCCGAATATGCCGGCAAATTCATGTAATTCGTAATTTGATATCAATAAATGAGAAATTTTTCTTGTCTATCTTTGATATATCAATATTAAATCCGAGGT